CAAACCTCCGGCCACGGCCCCGGCCCGCTCGGCCCTGCGCCCAGCCCGGCACCAGCGGATAACCCCCGTCTGGGCCTGCTGTCTGCCCGCCTGCAGGTGAAAAACCTGCCCTATCCGTGCCAAACCACGACGTACAGGAAAACAGTGCCTAGAACTTGCAATCAAAACCTATGTAGTACAAACATGGCACAGAGGCAGATGTACCAATACCAGAACACTTCTTGCTTAGTTCTCCCCCTGATTTTTTCTTTTCAGTGCTCTGCAGATGGGCTTTTTTCCCCTTCCTCTCAACCACAAGTCTCATTTCCCCTTTTTCAGTGTTTGTCATCTAGTCATCACCATCACATTGAGCTATTTTGCTAATGTTGATTCCTCCAACCAATTGAACCATTAAAATGGTATCATTTTAACAAGCTCTTGTTTTTCTTTCAGGAGCTTTCTAATGGTTTTCTTGTAATACATGCAAGCTTTTCAATCTTAATGGACAAAGAAAAAAAAAATTCTAGCTGTGAAGTTATTTATTGCTTAGTGAAGGGGTACTTCACAGGGCATTTCAGGATTGTGGTTACCTGTTGTGTTATGGAGTTGTTACAGACAGTAAATCCCTGTGTTTAACAATTTAGTAAGTTGTTTGAAAGTGACTAACTCAAGATTGTTGTTTGGAAGTTAACATCTTCCCACTGCTTAACTGTTCTGCAGGGTAACGTTTGTGCTTATACAGTTTTCTGTTTTAGTGCTGTATTCAGTACTTAAACATAGCTAGACATTGTTTCATGCATAAAGTACTATTTTTCTTTTTTAGACAAATCTTCAAACAGTTTTTAACAAACAGAGTGCTGAAAGACCCTAAGCAGAGGCGCTTTTTCAAATCCAATGACCTTTATGAACTTTTTACTCTGAGTAGCCCAGACGTGTCTCAGGGGACAGAAACAAGTGCCATTTTTGCAGGTACAGATTTTTTGTTTCTCTTTAAAAGGGAAAAAAAAAATTATCAAAGTGTTTGATAAATGGATACTAACTTCATTCGTCCCTCAGGTACTGGTTCAGATGTTGAAGTCCCAAAACGCCAGTTGAAACGGAAGCTTGAAAAGCCATCTGATAATGATACTTGCAAAGGTGATCTCCATTTTACAGAAAGCAGCTCACCAAAGTACAGCAAATTGTCCAATTCTTACTCAGCCACCCACGTGACAAATTCTCCTTCTAAAGCAATGGAGACAAGTGAGGAAACCAAAGGAAATTTGGAAGCCTTTGACCCAAATAGCTGTGCAAAAGGTAATGCACAAGTGGCTACTAATATAAATGCATTGGATAAAAGCAAGGAGGAAACCTTTGGTAGAATGGATGGATCCATGTCTCTACCATTGCCAGGTGACGTGGAGTCTTCAGAGAATGCTAGATGTCTGAACACCATGGTGGCTGAGGAAGTCCATGGAGCTGCTAATGTAAATGTCAAGGGAGATTTTAGCCTTACATGTGGTACAGCTGGCTCTTGGGAAAAACAGGTTGCTAAAAGTGAAGATGGGCCATTAGTTAATCATCATAAATGTACCTCAAAAACAAAGCACACAGTGGATATGTTGTCACATGAAAGCCACAAAGAAAAGTCTAAGAAGAAACATCACAAAGATGCCAAATTTGAAGGTGAGCGCATTCCTCACCTAGTGAAACAAAAACGATACAGAAGGGAGAACAGTGAAGAGGAGGAAGACTCCAAGAGAAATGATGATTACGTCTTGGAGAAACTTTTCAAAAAATCAGGTAACCCTTGTTATTTGGCTGCTCAACAGTGTCAGACTTTTTAAACAGAGGTATATAAAACTTATGTAAGTGAGGGAGGGAGCAGTTCTGTTCCTCTGATGGTTAGAGCTACAATACAAAATGTGGTTTATCTATTCTGTTACTGTACTGGAACATAAAAATGTTTGTTGTTGAAATGCTCCAGTTATGAACGTGCTAATTACCTTGGCACAAATATTTCAGAGAGATCTGCAGCCTTCCAGAAACACTTCTGGATACAGAACTAATGTGGTGTTTCTTCTGGAATTAAGGATGTAACCAACATTCATTTAGACAAGGGTTTCACTTCTGTCCGTCCTGTCAATAACAATAGAAGTGATCGATTTACCCACATAATTGCCAAGTCTGTTGTGAATAATGACCTCATCAGCACACCAGAAGTGGTTTTCTGTCAAATTGATTGCTTAACTGATACAAGGGGATTCTCTTATTAGAAATTACTGTAGTGAAGTACTAAATATAATCAAGCTGAAAAAGGAAAAATGTGATTGTAGCATTCATTTAAATAGTGAGTATTTAGTTTTACAGGTAACTGTAAATTAACAGATGTCCTCCTTCACCTTTTCTTGTATCCTCTGATATTTAGGAGTACACAGTGTTATGAAGCATGATGTCATTATGGAGGCTTCCAGTGCAGATCATGTGCTGGTGGAAGCAGAAGCAAACAGAGTGGCCCAGGATGCCTTAAGAGCCTTAAAAGTCTCTCGACAGCGATGTTTAAGAGCTGCTTCTGGGGTGCCAACCTGGACAGGCGTGAGTGGTCTTTCAGGTGGACCATCAGGAGTGAAGTAAGTTCAGTCCTCACACTGCTCTTGCAAAAATAAGAGAGCTCCTTAGAATGCTATGGATTTAGCTTTTTTATGTTTGCATTTGATATTTATAATAACATGTCAGAATGGAGTTTCATGGTTTATATTTAATAAAGACATGAAGGCATATTATAAGCCTAGGAGGTGCATTCTGAAGTACAAAGAAAGCATAATTGTTGCACAGTAGAGGACGGAGAGCTTGGGAGAGGGCTCTTGAGAACCCTAAAACAAAAACCCAGTCAGTGTCTTTGGCAAAACTCTCCTAATTGTTTTGAGAATGATGTTTTATGGCATTAATTCGTTTGTGGGATTTTAGGAATCGGTTTGGTCAAAAAAGAAACTCCAGGCTGCTTTCTTCACCTTCCACTTGTGCATCACCTGCGAAGAAGTGCAAGGTAAGAGGCACAAGCTAACATTTCTCTTCTAATAGCTGATATATGTGAAATGCTCTGATTTATGCAACAGATCTGATTCGTACTGTAGATGTCTCATACCCATTGTCATATGATTATAGAGAATTCTAGAATTTTTAGCCACGCATAAATTCGATTTTTCGTGGTTTGATACAGCATCTTGATGAAGTCTAACGAGATACAGCAGTCATAAATTGGAACATGGTCTGGTCATATGTCTCAAGACCAGCAGCGCTTTTCTTTTGCTTCCTAAGTTCTAAAGTTGGGACCAGAACATACTACCTCTTTATTGTGTATTTCAGATTAGTATCTTCCGAGTGTTCGTGTTTGTTGTGTAAGTCTAAACAACACTCAGATCTTGTTCAGCAGATTCTGTGGATCTCAAAATCCAACTTTCTCCATAGTCTGTGTGTTTATTTGCAGGATGAAGATACAACAAAGAAGGAAAACATAAAGAAATGTAGTTCCAACGGGCACTTTGATGGAAAATCTGGAGAGTCATCATCCAGTGCACTGGACTCTTCATCTTTATTATGTAAGATGAGGGCAAGAAACCACCTTCTTCTACCACAAGAGATGGGGCATGAGGGAGCTGAGAATCATCAGCAAGCCCCTGCCCCAGCCCCGTGTTCGACAGAATACGATGAGCTGCTGGTGGGCGTGCGTAACTTCATAGCGTTCCAGGCCCGCGTGGACGGCGAGGCCAGCACCGGGGAGCTGCTGCGAGAGTACGAGTCCAAGCTGCCGGCAGCCCACTCCTGTGTCTTCAGAGAACTCCTCCGCAACCTCTGCACCTTCCACAGGAGCCCAAACGGGGAAGGGGTCTGGAGGCTAAAGCCAGAATTCCACTGAGTTTCTCAGGGGGGAAGGCACCTGTCTCTGTGCTCAGCCACCACTCTCCTTTCAAAGACACTGTTTGTCTTTTAAAATGAGGAATTACTTAATATTTGTGATTTAATAATTGACTTGAGCGGTCAGTGGTGCAGCCCCTGTTGCAGGCTCAGAGCTAACTTTATTTCTAATTGACACTATTTATATGAAAGTGCCATCTACCTCACAGATGAAACAATACAAAATATCAGCACCTTTTCTTTAAAAGAAATCTTAATATAAATGGGACAGAGAATACCGAATGACTTTTTACTGCAATAAGAACCATGGATCTTGCTGTGGATTGTAAGACTTTTACTTGATTTCTGTGAAATTCCAAGAACTTCTTCCTCAGTTTTCCATATGTTACTTGAATGGTTATGGGGCACAAAGTATACCACGGGGAAAAAAAAAAGAGGAGGAGATGATAGTGGCCAGCATGAGAGATTCACTTGTACCAAGAAGTGCATCAAAATCGTTGTATGACACTTTCATCAGTAGTGGGAATTTTGTTTTAATGTTGGTGCCTTCATTGTTGCCAGCATCCAGCATGTATAGTGTAACTTACATTGCTAATTAACTGGGAAATAATTCTACTGCCACACAGGTTTAATCACAAAAAAAAATGGGAAGCCTGGCAGGATATTGAAATGACTGACAGTTGATAATTATGGAAAAATTATATCATGGAAAAAACATTTACACTGTAATCATCAATTTGGTTACAGTCCTATGCCCCACTGGCAATGGCTTGGTACAGTGTTTCTTACCACTGAGGTGACAGCAGAGTCACAGAATCATAAGTTCTGGTTGGAAGAGACCTTCAAGGTCATCAAGTCCAACTGTTAGCTCTTATATGTTTGTCACAAATTGTGGACTGATAATTGAAATCCCATGAAAAGTTCATGAGTCTCATTGTAATTTAGGTCTAAAACTTTGCAGTTTCCTGTTAGCACTTAAAATTTTATACCTTGACAAAGACTGAGTTGTTAATTGGTCAGAGGGGGAATGGTTTCACTGTATTTTAGTGAACAGTCACTTTTGGCCAGAGACATAATTGGAGCATATATGGAAGTTACAGGTCATACTTATTCTGTAGATGGGGAAAATCTCAGTCTTCCTGACAGTCAGACAAGTTCTAATACCCATTTTCTTCCAAGGAAGGAAGGATTGTATAATTCGTAGCAAACCTGAGTACTACACTGGGTCTGTCTTCAAGGTGTGTGCTATGTAAGGAAATCTTGGGGGGGGGAAATGGACAGATTTTGAGAAGGAAATCACAGTCTTGCAGCAACATTAAATTACTGTGTGGCTTAAACCAGGAACAGTTAAATATGCCTAATGTCCTTCCTATCCCTAAGCTACTGAGGAAGGGGAAAGCTCAGCTATTTTTAGTTTTTCGTTCAGTTGAAAGTATCTTGTTTACTTCAAGTGACAGTACAGATATTGACAGATGAATGATAAAGCAAGAAGTTCTCCTAAAGAAAGTCTTTAAGATACTTCCGATAGCTTTTCCTCTTGTTTTTGCTTATTCCTAAATAATTATATTGCATAGTCAAACTTGTTTACCATCACATAGCTTACAGATAGGTAAAATTTTTAAAAGTTTGTATTATAGCCTTCTCAGTTTCCAAGGATTAAGTGCTGCAGTTGGTAGTTGCATTCTTACATTCTTTTAAGTGTCTATTCTCCTGTGTTCATCGTTCTGTTGAACACTTAAGTCTTGTATATTCAACCCACTTATCTCTGATACACGAACTAAATTCTGGCCTAGAGAAAAGAGATTCTGCTGAAGGTTGTGTTTGACTCTTCTGAACAATAATGACAAATGTTACTAAGATGCTGAATGGATAGATTGATATAAATAATGATTAAAAATGGAGAGAAGTATTTTTAAATCTGTAACTTCACACTGTGGCTCAGCCTCTTCTCAAAGGGCTACACCATGTGGAGAATTGAGTCTACTACAGCCAGTAAATGTTATCCACTCGAGTTAAGCTGTAGCAAATTGGGCTTTTATATCTGTAATTTTTGGCTTCAGATGATGGTCACCTATAGACACTTGTACTCATGCCACAAGGTCTTGCTTTTGATTCCAAGACCATTAAAGTTGGCTAATTTTGACTGTCTTCTGGTAGTGCAGTTGTGCCTTTCGAGAAGCTACAGCAGAAGGGACTAGACTTTCAGAAGGACTTGATGCAGGTTTTTTTTGTTCATAGAATCA